TTTCTTTTTAGAAGTACAGCAAGAAATAGACTCTATTAAAACTCTTGGTGACTCACACCTCCAACTCAGCCGAATCCTACTAGGATTGATGGGGCTCACTTCTTGCATGCTGAAATCGTATTGGTCTTCTCCCATCGTGTTGGGGCTATGCTGCAATCTCCTTTCAGCTTTCTTCCCAAATTGTTATTTTCTAAATAAAACACAATAAAATCCATTAATTAACTTACTAATTAAATAAGAAAAAATACAAATAATATGGAAATTACGCACACTATCAAACCCCCCACACTTAGATCTTGCCTGCCCTCGGGCAAAACAAAATTTAAGCAAAAATAAGCAAACTATCCTACCAAACTATAAACTCAACTTTGCTTCTTCTTTTGCCACAAATATCCTTGGTTAACTATTGCAAACCGTTAAATCAATATGACCAAGTCATACACGACTCATCCATAAACCAATTCAATTTTTGCTACTATAAACCAAGTAGTAAACTAGGGAAAACATTTTTATCTTCACTCTCTTTTTTATCGTCTTGGTGGAAGTGAGTGCATTTTATGCTCCATCTCACTTTTAGGATTACTTGGCCAATACGTGCATTTTATGATCCATCCTACTTTTAGAATTGCTTGGCTAGTAGGTGCATTTTATCCTACTTTTGGAATTGCTTGGATAGTAGGTGCATTTTATGCTACATCCTACTTTTGAATGGGTAGCTAGTAGGTGCATTTTATGCTCCATCCTACTAGGTTGCCTCAATTGTATAGTAAAAATATTTACCCTATTTACTTAAACCTGAATTTAGGACTAGCTTAAATGGAAATGGCTTCAGATAAGTCGTGTATTCGCTAATCACACCTCTTTACTAGGTTCACAAGAATTTTTCCATAATATTGTTTCAATTGATTTCAAGAGAGTTGAGTTTTTTTTTTAAACTGAAATAAATACTACTTATCTAAAATCCTGAATCAAATCCTATAATCCCCCCCCCATAGACTTAATCTATCCATTGTCCTCAATGTATCAAAACAAAATTCTAGTAGTATAGAGATAAGGGAGACTTCCCTGACTAGTGAGCTAATGCAACGGAAGGTGGGTGAGGAGGATTCAATCGACGTTGAGCTCCTTTCCGCTTTTTAAAGTACTAGCATTCTTCTTAGGGTTGACTATGGTCTGTGAGGGTAGTTTTCTTGATCCTTGAGATTCCAATTGACTCACAGCAGTTGCCAATTGGCTCACTTGATTCTCCAGGTTTTGGATGCTTGTCCTTGCCTCCTGTTGAAATTATTGGGTGTTAGTTGCAAGTGCTTTAACAATTTCATCTAAAGACATACCTGGATTGGAAGACGAATATTGTGGAGCCGGTTGTCTAGCTTGATATTGTTGGACGCCGAAGGGCTTGGCTCCATAGCTAAGATTAGGATGACCCCTCCATCCTGCATTGTAAGTATTCGAATAGGGATCGTACCTCCTTTGTGAGAATCCTCCGACAACATTGGCTTGTTCATAGGGTTCATCTAGAAGTGTAGGACACATGTCGGTTGGATGACCCGCAGTGGAACAAATGCCACAAGTCTTTACTTGATGTACATGACCTACTACCAATTTTTCCACAAGAGAGGTGAGAGTATCTAATCGTTGATCGATGGATGAAGTACTTACCTCATTAACTCTCCTCGGAATGGACTCTTGTCTATTGTCGAACTGTTATGCATTGGTAGCCATGTTTGCAATTAGTTCCCTCGCTTGAGTAGGAGTTTTATTCACCAACACACCTTCACTTGCAGAATCAATCATACTCATGTCCATAGGAAATAGTCCTTCATAAAAATATTGGATAAGGAGTTGATCAGGAATCTGATGTTGAGGACAGCTTGCACATAGTTGTTTGAATCTCTCCCAATACTCATAGAGAGTTCCCCCACTGAATTGTCTTATCCCACAAATTTCCTTCCTGATATTAGCAGCTCGTGAGGCAGGGAAGAACTTCTCAAGAAATAGCTTCTTCATCTCATTCCATGTAGTGATAGAACCGGAGGGTAAGTAGTAAAGACAATCCTTAGCTTTGTCAGCTAGTGAGAAAGGAAAGGCACGCAACTTGATCTGCTCTTCGGTAACACCTTGAGGTTTCATGCTCAAGCAGACTACATGAAATTATTTTAAGTGTTTGTGGGGACCTTCACCTGAAAGTCCACGGAAAGTAGGAAGTAAGTGGATAAGATCAAATTTCAATTCAAAAGGTACCGTTAGATCTGTATATTCGATGCAGAGTGGTTGTTGATTCAGATCTGGTGCAGCTAACTCTCTAAGAGTTCTTTCGCCGATGTTGGCCATGACTTCTTCTTCAAAGTTGTTAGATGACTCGATGAGGTCTGTTGTCGACTTCACCCCGGGAGATGGGAGCGATGCCGATTGGTTACGACGTTGCTTGGCTTCTTTCCTCAACCGACGAACTGTGTTTTCAATCTCGGGATCGTATTGGAGTTCACCTACACGAGAAGAATGAGGCATAAACCAAGCAAAAGGAAATAAATCTTATTTAGGAGACCAATCCCCAACACCAGTGCCAAAATTTGGTGGGTGTCGAATCCAACCAAAAATAAAAATCCTGCTCGAATTAAGTATTTTTGTATATAGTGATGAGTAAGGTCGTCTCCTCAGAGATTGAGTTGATTTATTTCCAAGAAAACGAAGTAGAGGGTTGTTATAAAGATAAGGAAAAGAAAATAAAGTAAAATAAAATAAAATAAAGGTTTATTCGATAGAAGGCAGTATCCGGTTGAAGGGATAAGTTCAGCCTTGATTCTTACAATTGATCATCGATGCAAGGATGAATTCAA